AATCATTCAATATGGTTTTCTATGCTGATACAACAATAATAGCAGCAACAACAACTATAGCATCATCTACAGAAAACAGTAGGCAGTGGTGCTGTTTGCAAAATGTACAAAAAGGTAATAGGTAAACAAGAAACGCAGGAATTTTCGCGACCGATAGAAATGGCGACAATTGGTCGATGAGTTTAGAACAGCAATCTCAAGTGTGCCTCATCGTGTCCTCTACCAAAAATTTCTCTTGGCTTAACATAACAGTTCTGGTGCTTAACCGCAACATTATCTCAAATATGGCAAGAAAGCACTGAGGCTTTAGTGTTAATTTGGAAGAGAGAAAAAGTGGAAATTTTAGTTTCCATTCGTACTGTATATCAGACGCTCAAGTTGTAAAGAAAATTTTCCTGTTTTATTCAATTATTCTGAAACAAGTTCAAATTAGGGATTGAAAATTATAGTAATAATCACAGATCTACAACTTTTATACATTATTATCAATTTTCGATGAATATCCCAACCAAAAATACAAAAGTTTCTTTCTGCATGTCTCAACCAAAGGTTAATTCAGAGTTTTGTTTTTTTGTCTATAGTTTTAATTGTTTACGCCTTTAGTTGTTAACTGTTACTAAACAGATGATTTTGACAATAGAAGAAATGAGAAGAGGTGTCAAGTGAAGAAAAATTATTGAGTCATAAGTTTAATTTTTATAACATTTTTGGAATTTACTGGTTAATTTTTCTGTAGCTATAAAAAGGCAATCACTTATTAACTTAAATTAACTCAAAAAAAAGTGCTTTTTATTTTTTTTCTAAATATATCTGTGTTATAAAAAATAAAATAAGAAAATCATAAAAGAATTTTTCAAAAACAACAGTAATTTTTAACACCTAAATATGAAGCAACAGTTCCAATTTATTGAAATTAAATTCATTGTACCTTTCTTTTTTAAGCACTGATTTATTTCATAATTTTTTGAATAATAATTTATTTTTAAAGTCTTAATTAACACTCTAAAACTGGACAAGTTTTTTGCTTTAGTTGTAGTTAGCATTTATAACCAATGTTTAATTTTTTTTTCCCCTCTTCAGTTTTCTTCATTGGTTAATCGGGTATTAAAATTTGGAGAAGAAAAGTCTAACAAAAATTTTACTGCTTATTTTGTTTCTTTCTTATTTACTTTCTTCTTTTATTGTCATCAGTTTAAAGTAAATACTAGTGCTGAAAACACACAAATTTTTGTTGATGCCGGTCTTTAATGTTAAACCAAAAAATGCAGTAAAATTGTGATCGACCTGCATAAAAAAGGCTATAATATGATTGAGTAAACACGAGGAAATGGATGGTTTTGGTTGATTAATATTTTGCTTTGTCACTTTGCTTGGTCAGCTCTACTGGTCAGCCGACTATGAACCGTTTTCTTTTTTTTTTTTTTCTTTGAGAAGGACTGCCGGAGTAGACGGGGAGAGGGTGGAGGGGTGGGGGGAGTATTCTACTTTGGCAGCTCTTCACAACATTTTCACTGACTTTGATGGTGCTGCTGTTATCGTTGGTTGTTTACAAATAGCAAGAGAGGAAAGTGAAAGGGAAGAAAGCAAAAATCATCTTCAAGCAACTACTATTCAAAAATTTTTTTCTTTTGCTTGCTCATTGTTGTTATTCCGTTTTTGACCATTTTAGTTTTCCTACTGGTTTTTGTTTTTCTACATTTGTTAACGACTTTCTGTAAGCAACTGTATTTTGCTGTGACAGTCGTGGTATGTAATGATCGTTGCGTGGCTCAAGAATTGGATTTTGAACCTACAGTTAATAAGGCTTATCTGATGTAGCCAGCCTAATTACAGTGACCGGTCTGTTGATTTTGGTGCAGCTCCGCCTCTGAAAACAAATAGCTTAGTGAAAACATTATTTTTACTTATAACCATACAATAGGGTCAGTTTTTGCGATCGGTCTCTGTTTCGGTGAGCACAGTCTGAGCCTCAGAGTCTATGCATTCAAACACAATTTCATCTGCAAATCTTCGTTCGATTAACTTAATTCTGATCTTTCAAATGTATTGTTCAGTTTTTCTTTACCTCTACTTTCTTCTTTCACTTCTTGTTTCATTTTTTCTTTTTTTTTGATAAAATTTTTTGTCTTTTTTTGTTTAAATGCTGCTCATCTTTAGTGTGCTTCAAAAAAAAAGCTGAATTAAGGACTTTTTTTGCCTTCTCTCCTGATTAATCCAAAATTTATTTTCTTTGCTATTGTATAGCTTTTTATAAGCATATTTCCTTTTTCTTGCTTTGTTCTATTTTTTTGCACAGCTAATTTTATTTATTAATTTTTTTTTTTTT